TTGAAACATGGTGACACACTACTTTTGTATTTTTACGTGAAAATGTACCATATTAAAAACATTGGTATTTGAATCAAATTATACATGTAGTCAATTATGGTTATTTGCAGCAGTTTTGCTCTACACAGTCAGTCATTCAAGCAATGAACTAGTACTAATGGAAGCAGGGTTTGGCTCCCTCAAGCCTCTCTGTTCACAAAATTTACATCAACTAATTATCAAATAACCTCATTGTATATGTTAATGTTTTGTGTATTCTGTTTCTATCTGAAAACTCATTACTTAATAATGTGTTGTTCATTCATCAACCTTAACTCACAACTGACAATACTGCTAGCACCTGTCTGAGCAAAGCTTGCCTACTAACACTTGTATCTTACATATTTGTTGGGGTTTTTTGGGGGGGAGGGAGCTCTCTCTGTGTGTGGCCCTGGCTGTCTTGATACTTGTCTTTGCCTCCCAAGTGCTGGAATTAAAGACATAGGTTACCACACTCAGCCACATCTTGGTTTACATCACTAGTTCTTACAATCAGACCACCAGACAACATTTTAGGGCAACATTTGGTGGGCCATTTAAAACAGTACAAATAAACAAAAGAACCAAGTTTGGTGACACTTGAGAGGTAGACCCAGGAGAGTTCAAGGTCATCAACAGCTACATAATGAGTTCAACTTGTAGCTATCTACTTAATATCTCTTTAGGGGAAAATCAAATATCGCTATACCACATTAAAATGTCCTTAAGGTGGTGGGGGGGGTAGAAATAGACATGATCAAGATATACTGTTTACATGCATAAAAGTGTCAATGAATAAATGTAAAATGTTCTAAAGCTGGGTGTGGTAGTTCACACCTTTAAACCCAGCATTTGGAAGGAGCAGGTAGAAGCCAGCCTGTCTACATAGAAAAGTTCCCAGGCCATCCAGTGTATACAGTGAGACTTTGTCTAAAGAAAAACAAAAGTTCTATAAAAACCGAGCTCCCTAAGTAACCTTCAGGCTATGGTAGTGTATACAGGGGAACTTGAGCAATTGAGGACTATTACAAGTTTGAGGCCAGCCTAGACTATCTATATACCGGGAGGCTACATGAAAACTTCAAAAATTCTTGAAATGCGTTCTCAAGTTTCACCAATCCACAAAACTGAAATACGCAGTGATTTATAACAAGAATTGACAAACTTTCTCCTGAAAGAGCCAGTAAGTAGGTTGTACAGGCGTGCATGGCCTCAGATACATATTCATTGTTAATTTTTTAAAAAATTATTTACTTATGGGGTGGGAGAGGCCCACGCATGTGAACATCAAGGACAACTCTGGAGAGTCTATTTTCTCCTTGTCCACGTGGCTCCCCAGGATCAAAGTCAGGTTGTCAGGCTTAGTGAGGAGCCCCTTACCAACTTGCCACCTCCTGTTACAGTCACTGGTTTAATTTTAACTTTTCTAGAGTATACAAAAAAATTCTGAACTGGGTGTGGAGACTCAAGATCCAGAAAGTAGAGGCAGAAAGGTTGTTGCGATCTCCAACTAGGCCTAGGATACACAGTGAGGTTCAAGCCAGCTTGAAGTACAGGATGAGATTCAATCTTATGCAACAAAATTCTTACTAAGAACCACACAAAAAGAGGCCACAGGTTACAATCAGTTTGCCACCATGGGTTGCACAGTAAGACTCTGGTTTTAAAAACAGGGATGGGGGTAGAGATCATGTGCTGGAGAGATGGATGGCTGGGTGGTTAAGAGCATGCACTATTCTTCTAGAGGATCTGAGTTCAGTTCCTAGCAACCTTGTCAGGTGGCTCACAATCACCTAAGTCTAGATTCAGGGGGATCCAACACAACAGGCCTTTTGGGGCACTTAATGAAAAATAATAAAAATAAACCCTTTAAAAATTATTTTTATTTTTTGAGACAAAGTCTCTCTGTGTAGCCCTGACTGTCCTGGAATTTGCTCTGTAGAATAAGCTGGCTTCAAACTCACACAGAGATCCACCTGCCTCTGCCTTTGCCTCTTGAGTGCTGGGATTAAAATACTAAGATGTAAGGGTAAACATTGAAATCAAATCAAACTACAATACCCATACAGGTATGTAACTGGAAACAATGAATCTGAACATCAGAATGAAAAACTAATATATACATTTGAGCAAAGCACCTCAAGCAAAATGAGTTTAACTTTCTAAACAGTACCTAATATGCTCACCAGTCTTCATTTCTACTTTCCATAACAAAATTGGTACACATGTTAAATATCATCTAATCACATCAACACTTGAGAATTATATTAAAGAAAACAAGCATGAGGGATTAACTGTTAAGACCAGAAGAGTTTAAAAGCCACACTCAAATACAAGTTACCAACATTCTTCTATCAAATTTCAGATGATCTAACGATTATTCAAATGATGTGTCTACATGACACATAAACTTTATATAAATACAAATAATGCCATTAATTTAAAATGGTAGAGATTTACATGAGTTAGGCAAGAGAAGATGTTTATCTTATTAAGGAAGAAATAAAAGATGAATCACACAACCCTAAATTCATCTATGAAAAACAACAAGCACCATGTGTTATCTGTGTATACATACGTACTGCTAACAATTTCTTTTCTTTTTTTACAATGAACACACACAAGCTTTATATGTAGTAGGTAGATTCTCAATGAGTCTTTTTTTCCTCTTGTTTTGTTATTTTAGAAATAAAATGGGGCTGGAGAGATGGCTCAGCAGTTAAGAGCACTACTGCTCTTACAAAGGACCTGGGTTCAATTTCCACCCACAGAGGGTGGCTCACAACCAGTAACTCCAGCTCCAAGGAATCTAATAGCTCCTTCTGATCCTCAGACACTAGGCACCATGGGCAGGCAAAACATTCACAAAAATAAATAAATAAATAAATAAATAAATAAATAAATAAATCTGTGTTTGTTTTTTTTTAAAGAAGAAAGTGGTGTTATGAACTTGTTTGTTAGGCTGGCTTAGCAGGTAAGGGCATTTGCCTTCAAGTTTGACCACCTAAATTTGATTCTGAAGATTTGCATGGTAGAAAAAAATGAACCAACTCTCTGACCTCCTACATATGCTGCAACACCTGCATGAATGGAGTACATGTGTATATACATACAATATAAAAATAAATTCATAAATTGAATAAATTCATATAATAAAATGCATGCTCGTTGAAAATGCCTTCTGTATCTTCATTTATTCTTAGAAATTCTGCTAAATACAACTAAAATCAAATATTTCCTTGTTCACTAACAGAATTTCAGCAATGCTCTCAAAACCATGGCTCCACACAATACACAAACAGGAACCAGTGATTGGACTCAATGGACTGTAAACAAAGCAACAAAAAGGAAGTTAGGAGAGGGACATATTGAAGAGGATCCAAGGAGAGTTGAAGGAGAAGAGGGTGGAGATGATCAAAATACATTGTATACATATATGAAACTCTCAAAGAATAAATTAAAAATCTAATTTTAAAAACCCTCTCCAAAGCCAGGCAGTGGTGGCGCACGCCTTTAATCCCAGCACTTGGGAGGCAGAGGCAGGCAGATCTCTGGCCGGGCTGGACCGACAGCCTCCAAAACAGTACAGAGAAACCCTGTCTCGTAAAAACAAAACAAAACAAAACAAAACAAAAAAAAACAAAAACCCTCTCCAAAAGACTGCTGGCACATGCCTGAAATTCCAACGTTTAGGCGGTAGACAAGAGGATCAAGAATTCAAGGTCATATTCTGCTTTACATAGAACACTAGGCCAACCTGGACTACATTAGACCCCATCCCAAAAACATTTCGCCTTCTCTAAAAGTATTCAAATTTGTTCTCAATACTCAACAACTCCTCAAGCTGACATATTTAATATTAATGACAGGAATTAGTAAACATTTCTATAAGAGCCAGACAGGAAATACTTTAGACTCAGGGGGCACATATGATCTGTTGCTTATAATTCATTGGTCTTGTTTACATTTCTGAAATATATAAAAAAAAATTCTGAGCTGGTGATAGTGGCTCCCATGTGTAATCTTGGAACCCAGAAAGCAGAAGCAGGGAGGACTGCTCTGAGTGCTGGTCAGTTAGGGTCACAGAGACCCTGCCTCAAACAACAACAAAATTCTTACATAAGCATCACACAAAACCAAACCAGTAGAATTAGCCTGACAGCCACAAATTTGCCAAGGACTAATTTCTAACAAGCAGCATCTGGAAAAGTTTGCTATTAAAGTATATTCTACCAAAGGCATCAAAAATCACAACAAAGCCAACTGTTTCACATTAATAAAGCAGATGACATCGTAGCAACTAAAACTGATTAATAAATATGTTGAACTCTATACCGTGACAAGGAAATCTCAGAATGGAAAACCTAACAGAAACTTTTAGCACTCATTTTACACATGAATAGGAATTTGTGTATGTCACATATGTATGCCTAACACACATGTCTCCATTTGAAAAACAGCAGCTGAAAGTTGTCTACGACATCAAAGCTCAAATTTCCTTTCATGATAATTAAAACCATTTATACATTCAAGTAATCAAACTGGTCAGTCTGTCATCAACCAATGAAAATTAAGAACAGAGTTTAGAGACTGGTGGTAATTTGTTTTCCATTTTAATTTATAAGGGTTACTGTATATTAACTAGAAGCCAGGCACAGTGGAACATACCTCTGGAGGCAGAGGCAGGAGAATCTTTGTGAGTTCAAGGACAGTCTAGCCTATATAGAAAGATACAGGACAGACAGAGTTTATATGGTGAAACCTGGTTTCAAACTTAGTATTTCTAGTGTCTGAAACTGTTGCCCACTTTGGTCTAAAGGACAGTTTTTATATATTTGATTTAATCTAAACTCAAAAGATCCTCATGAACATCCTGATGCTACTACCAAACATGAACTTCATTAAGAATAAGACTGGGTCAGACTGAAAGTCTAAAAGAAGAATGCTAACCACCTCAGTAACCAAATTGCCTCCTATCTTACCTAGACTGGTGGGTTTGATCAGCTCATCCAGCAGGTCATAGAATGGTAGCTTTTGCAGCTTTATATCCGGATGGACGGGGTGCAGCGCTGATGTGAGATGTGGGAGTTCCAGTTCATGTTTAGGTCCCAGAAGAGAAACAGGGAGTAGTGGGGATGATGCCGGGTGACCATCATAGGTGAGCTGTGGAATGGTAGATGGAGACAGAGTCGCTGGCATAGGACTTGAATGTACGTTGGGGATAGACAAGTCCGCAGGCGTCATAATTTTCTGAGGGAACCGCCTCCTGTAGAGTTCTTTAATTTTCATTTGTACAGCAGGGCTGCAGCCAGCCTTTAACAAATGCAGGGCTTTTGTAAGAAGTTCGTGTTTGCGTCCGTGCTTGTTCCTCCCAGCGTAGCCCAAGAGAACTTGGAGTTCAGAAACTCTAAGGCTCATAACCATTTGCTTAGAGAAAACAGTAAAATGTAAAATATTAGTGCCTGAAACCACAATTTACAATTCTAATTTTTATTTAGCCTTTTCATATGGTTTGCTTAAATGCCAGCCCATTTAACATCCTTACTATTCCAAACCAAGTTTAACCAATTAGTAATAAACTTTAAAAGTAATATGCCTAAGTTTACTGATTTCCATGTAGGATTATAAAGGATACAGGATAGAGTTTACACTATGCAGAACCACATCTCACTTTATCCTACCATTCAGTGACATTAGCAAGCACTTACAAACTCTCCAGAAGCACAGACTTCAGATGGAAGGGTAGTAATGTGCCCTCAAGAACATTCCTACCTTCTTGGAGAAAAAACTTTAAGTACATTGAAACCAAACACCCCACCTCAAACCCCAGACACATTATCAAGTACTAGTCTCTATACTATCTCTGGAATTCAAGGAACAGTCGCTATTTTCCTGAGGCCTATCTCTTAAGTCTTTGCTGTTACACAGCTAGCTAGCAATCCCATCAGATGCTTAAGTTCTTGAGTCCCACCTACACATCAAGAATTCCATCTTTACACTATAAAACATGAAGTTAAATGACAGAAATCTACTTACCTTCATTAATCCTGGGTTCACAATTTATTTCATCACTGTTTCTACCCCTCCACCCTGCCCCTTCTAAGAACAACAGGAAATGGAAATCTAATCAGAACCTTCCATTTTAGAGCAACAGAAAAAGGGAACCAAAGAGGAAGGACTGACCCTGACCACACTACTACTTATGGAAGAAGCCCTGTCTCCAACAGGAAATGCCAGGATGAATACACACCTGCAAGCTTCCCATTCATTAAATCCTCCATTTCCTAAACTACTGGATCCTCTGGCCTCATACCAAATACCAACAACAGAGGCTGCACTGCCTCTCTACCTTCCTGTAGGGCTATAAATACCCTTTCTCAACAAACCCATTACAATAGTGGTTCTCAACTCTTTAGTGTGGTAACCCCAATCATAAAATTATTTTCTTTGCTACTTAACTGTAATTTTGTTAATGTTATGAAACAAGACGTAAATATCTGTGTTTTCTGATGGTCTTAGGTGACCCCTGTGAAAAGTTCATTTGACCCCCCAGTGTGTTACAACCCACAGATTGAGAACCACTACACTAGAGAGTCCTTTCAGGTAGCAAAACAGCCCCCAAAGTGATCAATGAATGCAGCACTCTGATGCAATATAGTTGGCCAGTCAAAGCTGTTAGTTGCTCCAGTTTCCCACCTTCAGATCCAGCTTCACCAGCCTGTTCCAGTCAGTAGATTGGAACTGTTTTACTATCTATCTCTACTGCTGCACTGTCATTTCTATCCACATTCCTTGCCTAGACTGAGGTGCTCCAGGACTGATAACCATTCTAGACAGAAGTTCTCTGGAGCTCATGACCATTTTATCTTCAGCATCTAGAACCAGAGTTTGTTATCAACTATATGGACAGTGAAGGAATGAACAAGAAAAGCATGCCAGAAGGAATGGAGGGGGAGAGTGCAAATCAATGCCCAAATTATTGTGCTGTACAGAGGCATACAAAGATGTAACACAGACTTTGGGAACAAACTGCTGAGCATAACAGTCCACATGTGAAAGAGCAGCAATTGGGAGACTGAGATAGGAAGATCTTAAGTTCAAGGTTAGCCTGAGATACATGATCTCAAACAACAATAAAATAAGTAATTCTATAACCCCCCCAATGCTATAGGTATTTTCTTTTTGGATATTAGCAGACTGCAAAAAGGACAATAGTGTCTTCTCCCTACTCACCGAAACATCCTAGAAAAGTATAAAATAACTGGAAAAATATTCAAAAGAGAACTGTCAGGCATGGTCGAACATATCTATAATCCAAGCAGTTGGGAGACAGAGATAAACAACCTGGTCTATAAATAGAAAAGTTCTAGGCCAGCCAGGGCTATAGAGTGAGACCCTGTCAAGTGAGGAAGGGAGGGAGGAGGGGGAACAGAGTCACCAAGATGGCTCAGTAGCCACAGGTACTCTGACCTCTACATGTAAACCATGATAATCTTATCACCCTCCTAGTGTGTGTGTGTGTGTGTGTGTGTGTGTGTGTGTGTGTGTGTGTGTGTGTGTGTGTGTGTGTACAGGAGCCTGCAGAGGTCAGAAGAGAGTAGTGGACCTGGACCTGTGGGAAGAGTTATAGACAGGTGCTGTGAAGTGTCCAACAAGGGTACTGGGAACAAAACTTGGATCCTTTGGAAGGGCAGCAGCACTAAACCGACTGTCCACTCCCAGAAATGCACTGTAAATCTTATGCTGGACATCTGTACTCCTGCACTTAGGAGGCTGAGACCGAGAGAACCAGAGTTTAAGGCCAGCTTGAGCTACATAGGGAGATCGTATTATTTCATCATAGTCTTCTGTTTTTAATGAAATAAAATCAAACATGAAGGATTAGTAATTAAAAACAAATTGGAGTTGGCTGGTCTTACTTTTCTATTGCTGTGATAAAACACCATGACCAAGGCAACTAACAGAAGGAAGGGTTTATTTAGGCTCACAGTTCTAGAGGGATAAGATTCCATTCATCATGGCAGGGAATTCTGACTTCAGATGGCAGGAACAGATGAGAGCTCCCATCTCAGAATGTAAAAGCAGGAAGCAGGGACAGCAAACTCGAAATGGGATGGGGCTTTAAACTCTAAAAGCCACCCCCTGTGCCAAATAATGCAACCAACTGGGGACCAAGTATTCAAACATTTGAGCCTGTAGGGAACAGTCTCATTCAAACATCACACTGTCTTAGTTTCTTTTCCTGTTCTCGTGTAAAAATGCTGTGACAAAAGCAACTTCAGGGAAAGGGGCTATACTGGCTCAACATTCAAGGGTAAAATCCATTATGGTGGGGAAGATGTGTCAGGAGCTTAAAGAAGCTGGCCACATCACGTTCACAATTGAAAACAGAGAGCAATGAATGCATCATGCTACTCAGCTCCCTTTCTACATTTATAAAATCCAGGACCCACAACTGGTATTAATGGCCAGGAAATGTTGTTGCCCACAGTGGGCAGGTCTTCCCACATCAATTTAAAACATGAAGATACTCTCCAAAGGCATGTCCAGAGGCCCATCTCCCAGGTGATTCTAGACTCTTGTCAATTAATACTAGCAGTCACATAGGCAAATGTGTTTATTCTAAAAAAGGGGGGAGGGGCAGCATTAAATTTTAGAGATAAATATCTTTCCTTTTAATTCAACTCCATTCTCTAAGACACAAACAAAAACAGCAATTCAGTAATTACTACAAATTTCAGTGATGTTAACCTTTGTCATTAGTTGTGAGTACAAGATTAAATGTAGCACGGATGTATTACTGTATTTCTATGAAACACACTGACAATTTACATAAAATAAAGCCCCTTGTTTTGAAGGATCAAAGAAAAGGTTAAATAACAAACTAAACTTGACAGCTGTCAATTACATTTTGACTGCCTCAAAAAAGACAAAGCAAACAATAGCAACTGTGAAAAAGAATACTTATACAGAATACACTCAAAAGACAGCTGTTATTAATGAGCCAAGGGTGCTGGTTTGGGTCTATTTTTTTAAAAAAAAGAGGATTTATCATTGTTACATTTTTAAGACAGGTATTATGTTTTACACAGGAAGCAAAAGATCTGCTGAATGTTCACAACTAATTCTACTTCAAATATATTTTCACAATTTTACAGAAACATTTCAAGGAAACAAACCACATGCCTTTGAATTGGGGGGTAAGACTCAATTAAAAAGTGAATGTATTTTATCTCAATTTATAGTTCAAGCTTTAGCATTTGAACTTTAAAGTTATGGCTAAGATGGGTGTGTGCTCCATTAACCATTCTGCACTTGATAACCTTGTACAGCGCAAGGCCAGGTGTGTTCCTTGCTATTACTGGAATAGCTTTTGCATACTCTTGGAGACTATAATAAGCACTGCATTTTAGAGAACTGAAGAAGGGGGTGGGAAAGGTCCAGTCATCTGAAGCATCACTCAAATGAAAGGCTGCAAAGAAGCATGCAGCAATTAATTCACAGTGCAGAAGCTCTGACAACACATAGAAAAACTAAACATTTAAATACTGATGAGATGCTGAAATGAAATATATTTTAATTTGCAATGTGCTCAAAATTCTTCATTTGTTAAGACTACAATAAAATGAATATTTACAACTAAGGATAACATTAACCATGATAGCTATTAGAAATCATCACCTCCTAGGGAATTCCAGCATTCTGCTGACTACATCCTTGGATGATATGGTTCTTAGAATCCTAGGGGGTTAAAAATGGTTGAAAAGTGTATATATTCTATACAGAAGAGTATTCTGTGAAGGAACTCTTCCTAAAGTGTTTTATTTTTTTATCAGACAGACATACACATGGCTTTTAAATTCTCTTAAAAACTTTTGTTTTTAGGTATTTGATAAACACCTGCAAATGGATGCTACAGGAGGACAGAAGGGGTCATCAGATCCCCTGGAACTGGAGTTATAGGCAGTTGTGAGCCATCTGTGTGGATGCTGGGAAACAAACACCGGGCCTCTGGAAGAACAGCAAGCTTTTTTTTTTTAGCCACTGCATTCTCACCAGCCCCACATGTATATTTTTTTAAATATTTTTTTTAATTTTAGTAATTTTTAAATGTATGAGTGTTTTGCCTCCAAGTATATATGTATACCATGTGCATGTCTGGCGCCAATGGAGGTCAAAAGAGGGCACTGAATCCCCTAAAACTAGAGTTATATATAGATGATTGTGAGCTAACATGGATTATGGGAATTGAACCTGGGTCCTCTACAAGAACAAGTGCTCTTAACCACTGAGACATCTTTCTAGTCCATGCACATTTTTTGTTTGTTTACTTGTTTGTTTGTTTGTTTTTCGAGACAGAGTTTCTCTATGTAACTCTGGCTGTCCTGGAACTGACTCTGTAAACCAAGCTGGCCTTGAACTCAGAG